AGGAAGGGGAGAGAAGATGAGCAGAAAGGCTGCCACCGTTAATACATGAGATGCCCGCGTGTGCAGAAGCAGACTGCCGGGAGGGAGCTGGAGCTAAGGCCTCCCTGTGCGTGGCTCTCCTGGGCTCCGCGGCTGCCTGGTTGTAAGAGAACCGTCCATTTCTCTAAGTGGACCGAGAGCCTCCACCATCACACCACGTGTGCCGAACGGACAAGTGCCCCCGCACTGACGATGCCATCGAGCAGTCAGTACTTTTGCTTTGTACCAAAATACCTTCCCCTCTCTGCTGCACCCCCAGATCGCTGCCGGCATGACCACACCAAGGCCTCAGGTTCTGTTTACAGCTGCGATGGCCACCTGAGTGCTGCATGGAGTCCTCACCTTCTACCACAGCATCACCAGCTACTGGGGTCTGTTTTAAAACCAGATTTCTGGGGGTACAATTTACACACGGGGCAGGGGAGCCCCATTAATTGCACAGTCCTGAGTTTTCCTAAGTACTCAGGGCTCTGTGGCCGCCACTGCCTTAAAGATTCGAAAACTAAAGGTTTCCATCATTCCCCAGGTCTCCCCTGTGCCCCTCTGCGGTCAGCCCCTTCCTCCACCCTCAGCCTCAGCCACGACGGGCCTCTGTTCTTCCCCTACGGTGTGGCTTTTCCCAGAAAGCTGCACACATGGCACCGTGCAGTGTGCAGGCTTTGCGCCTGGCTGTTCTCACCTAACATCCTGGTGTGCATCACCCTCTGTGAGGCTCTACGCCTTGGACTTTTGCTTTTGCGGCAAAGAGACTAGCTGACTGGCTCCAGGTCATCGCGGCGACGGAGAAAACAAATTCTTGATCTGGGCCTTTTCATAAAGGGGAGGCCTGGGAAGGCGGGGACCAACCATCTCTGTCTGCCCAGGACTAAGGGGGTTCCGGGATGTCAGTGGGAAACCAGGCAAGTCCCAGGCAAACGGCGATGGCCCGGCCACCCTCCTTGGAAAAGCTGCCTCTAAGAGGCCGCCTGGCCAGCAGCAGGTGGCTCTGGCTGAGCGGATGGACAGCTGACTCTCCTCTCTCCGTTTAGTCCCCGGGCTGATCTGTGAGCTGCTGGTTGAGAGCTCAGCGCACTCCACCAGGCCGGCAGCTGTCTCTGAAGTCCCCGGGCGGGGCTCACGGAAGTGAGGGGAGAACTAGGGGGTCTGTTTAGAGCAACAGCAGAGCCTCCGCTGCTTTCGGCGCCACTCCCCACTCCTCCCTAATGTCTGACACGCTGGGCTCATTCTGTTTTTTACACCCGCCTAAGCTGTGTATGCAGGGCAGTGCCCGCTCCTACGTTTTCTATACGTTCTTCCTACTCTTCCCTCTCCACGGGGTTTCTGGTCCATTTGTTTTGAGACTCACTGGGGAGAAGGTGAGAGCCCAGTGATACAAAATTAGTAAAGAGCTTGAAGTTCTTGTGAGCATGTCAGGGTCTCTCCTATATAAACTTCCTGTGACATCAAAGAAAAGTTGGGCAGGGCCAGGATGTGGCTCCAGGCAGAAGGCTTAGGAGCGAGCACTTCCTCACCCATCTCCTTTTCCACTGACATCCGCGGGAAGCCCCGGGGATAATGCATGGATGCTCTCTCTCTCTCTCTGAGGAGCGAGGGTTCCTGGGAACAGGCGGAGCATCCTCAACTCAGAGCTCCCAGTAGCTTCGAAAAGCACGTGATGGCCACAGCTGGTGCCCAAATTAACTGTGAGGACCCCCTCCCCCTCCCCCCCAAGAAGGCAGAAGCTGGTGGCGTCAGAACCATGTCACAGGCGTTTCAGAGCATCTGCCTCCGAGTTAACTGAACACTGTCTTTCCTCACAGTAATACCAGTAGCTCTGACGAGGTCTTCCACCAAGCAGCCAGTGCAGCAGGTTAGTAATCATTATCCTCATGTGGACAGATGAGGAAACAAAGCCCAGAGAGATTAATTGACTTGCCCAAGGTCGCACAGCGAGTTAGTGGCAAAGGCGAGATTAGCCACCCCGAGCCCCGGAGTGCCCAGGCCGGCACCTGGCTCCATGAGATCCCCCAGCCTTCCATCCAGAGCGTGGGCACAGCTAGGTCTGTGCCCTCGGGAGCCCTGGAGGCCAGATGAGCTGCTGCAGAGGGCACAGGCAGGCTCATACTCACAAGCAGAAACCTGCAGGATCCTTCTCTGTACCACCAGACAGCAGCACCCCTGTGCTGGAACAGACAGAAATAAGGCTCAAGTCGGGAAGGCTCGGGGCGTCTCTGCTTCCGGAAAGTGGCTTTGAGATGGTGCTTCATTTCCCTTTAGGTACGATTCCACTGCTCTCCAGGGCCAGAGCTTGGGAGGATACGTAGTGCCACTCCCTGTCATTCATTCATTCATTCCCCAATCGTGTCCCAGGGGTTGGGGGGAAGGACCCTTGGAGGAGAAAGACAAGACCCCCATCTGGAAGGATGACAATCTAACAGGGGAAGCATATATATATATATATGACAACGCGACATTAATTCAACAAATACTTGGTAAGTACCTACAGTGTGACAGGCACTGATGAAGCTATATCTAACGTTGCGGGAGAACACGGAGAAACACAGGGGGGCTTCCTGGAAGAGGAGGCATGGGGGCTCAGTCCTGAAGATTGAGGCACTAAGACGTGAGTCTGAAATGGCTTTGAGCACTTTTTCTAAAATAAACCCCAGAATTCTACCCTTTAAAGAAACTCAATTTTCAGAATTCTTCCATCCTGTTTCTGACTTTCTGAGTTCTCGCTTAATCGCCTTAGGCCTTAGTTGATCTCTCTCTCAAATGGGAGTGTTCCAGAGGGTGGCTCTTTGGAGATATGGTCCTACAAAAGTCCTTGAGAAACAAATTCTTGGCACGGTCGATGGCATTCGCCTTCCCACTAAGGCTGCTGCTCTCTGCTCTCAGACTCTCTGCTCTAAGCAGGAAATTTGTTTTATTTATAAGAATCACAATTCTAAACTGACCTTTGTTGGGCTACCCACATTCCCTCCCCCACTTCCCTCCCTCACTTCAGACCGCCTCCTCCCTGCAACGAGTGCAAAGAGTCCACAGTGACCACAGAGCACCCAGCATCGACGAGTGCTCAGGAAATCAAGTAGACAAACACTGGAGGCTGGTTTCTAGATGGGGAAACGGAGGCCAGGAGAGCTCAGTGATTGGCCCAGGGAAACAGAACATGTAGGTCTCCTGGTTCCGAAGCCACTGTTTTCTTCCTTGCACCCTGACTGCTCCCCCGACATCTCCGTCTGGGCTCGGGGCAGACGCGCCACCCTCCTTAGCTTGCGGAAAGTCTCCCTTCTCTGAACGACAGAAGTCTTTAGAGACACATTTCCCATCATGAAAGGGGCTGGGAAGAAAACTGGCACAGCTTCCTCAGCTTGAAGCTCGTTGGCCCCTCCTGGCCCTTTGTGCTGGGAACCAGCCCAGTTCCCAGAGCTCCTACCCCTTCAGAAGAGGGGAAGGGCCCAAAGAATGCCCCCACCCTGCCTGGCCAGTCAGCACCAAAGGTGACCCCTCCGTATTTCTGTTTCAGACTATTTCACTGCCAAAGCATCAAGGGCTCCCACACAAAGAGCTTCAAAGTCAGGAAGGCTCAAGGTCAAATACAATCATGAGCAAGCCCTGAGCCTAGGATTCTGAAGCATCACATATGAGATTGTTTTAAAGCCGTGTTTCCCACAGTCTTCTAAAGCCCGTAATAGCTTAAGGTGCATTAACATTCGGTCTTCTGCGGGGATCACAAACTTCGGTTGTAGCACACACCATGTGGGCACGTGGTTGAGTACCCTATGTGTGAAAATATGCTAGATGTACCGAAAGCGGAAGGGGGTGTTGGAGGGTCCATTTCACTCCCCACTTGCTTTTAATTTTCCAGGTGAGGAAGGTGTGTATGTAATTACTTATCTTTTTTCCCAATGGTTCTCAACTTCGGCTACACATTAAACTCACCTGGGGACTTTTACAAACTAGAATGCCTAAGACTAATGAACTCAGAATGTGTACCTACATCCATGTTAAGCACCCCTGAGGAGTCCCAGGTGTGGCTAAGTTTAAGCACCACTAGAACTTCAACAGGGAAAAACCTGGGCTCCTAAGTGTGGAGACTCAACAGAACACACAAGCCCCCTGCAGGGAAAACGAATATGATCAACCAGCCTCTTACTCTTTCAGCAGCTTTTCTTTTTCAGGCCTTCCTGACCACAGATTTCACCCCACATAAGCTTTCACGTATTTTCGCTGGCTCGCCGCTCCACCGCTCACCTCCACCTTGCAGCACCCTGAGACTGCCCGCCCTCTCCTGGGAGTCAGGTCGGAAACAAAAACACAGGGGATGCAAATCCAAGGGACTCTCTCCACCCTGCGTGTCTGCAGCCAAGAGTGACGCAACCTCAGGAAGCTTTGGCGCGGACGTTCCCAGTGCAATCCTCAGCAGGTCAGTCACTTCTGGCCCTGGACACGCTCACCAGCTGGAAGAGCAGCAGGAACCAGAATCCTTGACCACATGGCGTGTCCAGCCAATGGGCTCACGCAGCCAGGCAAGGATGCCCTTAGGAGAGTCACAAGTATGTAAACATCCGAGAGGAATCTTCTCCAGGCGCCCGGTAGAACTCAGCACGGCTTACACAACGCCAGAGAGACTCACAAACAAGATGCAGCAACGCTACCATCACTTGTAACAACAACTCCCTGGGCAGACACTCCCATCCCTGCTTTTGATGGACAAGCCATGGCTGGCTAGCAGAATGGCTTAGAACAGCGGTTCTCAGCCTGTGGGTCGCGACCCCTTGGGCGGTCGAACGACCCTTTCACAGGGGTCGCCTAAGACCATCCTGCATAGCAGATATTTACATGATGATTCATAACAGTAGCAACATGACAGTGATGAAGTAGCAACGAAAATAATTTTATGGTTGATCACCACATGAGGAACTGTATTTAAAGGGCCAGAAGGTTGAGAACCACTGGCTTAGAAAGAGTGGGGACAAAGCCTGGACATATTTCTGCAGTAGACACAGGGTGATATTCCCACCATCCTTTAGCTCCAGACATCTCTTGAGATGCTACGAACCCATGGAAAATCAAGCCAGAGCCTACAAATAACAGGCTAGTTTTGAATATGTAACATGCAGGCTGGGGAAATGGAAAATAATTTCTCCTACATCAACTGCTTGATAAGATTTACAAATTAAGCCCTGGCCAGTTTGGCTCAGTGGATAGAGCGTCAGCCTGAGGACTGAAGGGTCCCAGGTTCAATTCCGGTCAAGGGCATGTACCTTGGTTGCGGGCACATCTCCAGTGGGAGGCGTGCAGGAGGCAGCTGATCGATGTTTCTAACTCTCTATCCCTCTCCCTTCCTCTCTGTAAAAAATCAATAAATATATTTTTTAAAAAAGATTTACAAATTAAGAGAAAACATCTTGAGAATCTGGAGACAGTGCTGAGGCATTCTACTGACTTGGGAGAGGGGAGAGCTCAAAGTTGGGAATTTAGACACATAGAACGAGGCATTCCAGTAACAAATTTTGAAAATATCACAAATAAGAATTCTTCTTTATAATTTTAATATATGTCTGAGAGCCCTAGTTGATCTTGTTTTTTCTTTTGAACTGTGTTGTTAAGCCACTATACCTAGTCATTCCATAATTACCCAAGCTCACCCTTAAAAGGGGCGAAGGGGCGGGCCTCAACCTCTGAGAAGCAGGAGGACACGAAGATTCTAGTTAGAGCTGTGCTGATTAGTTGAAGATTGGGCCCAACATGCTTTAGTCTGCACAGGCCAACATTGTAATTCAGTGAGTGTTCCAAGCACAGCTCATCTGCTTCTCACGAGAACGGGGAATTTTACAAGGACGGGGGAACCCCCACATTCCTCGGCTGACAGGTATAGTAAACATATTGGTAGCATTCACCAGGGAGACTTGAAGGGGAGCTTTTTCTCGAATCAAACACCAAAAGATGAGCTAGATTAGCCTCTGCGATTCAGATAATTCTCAAATGCAGCTACTTCGCACTCCGCGTCTGATTTATTGCAAAATGATGAGGCAGATACATGTGTTACCCAAAACATCAATGCTCTGAACTGGAAAGGAAGTCTCCCTCAGTTGGCAAAGTGCCCCTAACTTCCAGGGTAGAAGGCTTTTAAGCTCTCAAGAGGAAAAGATAAGGATGAAGCCTTTCTCAGGTCAAGGGCCAAGTCCAAAGCTGGTAATACAAAAACCTTCTGATAATAACTGGGCAGAAGACCCCAGAGGTACCCTAACTTAGAAGGATGAATAAGCTGATTTAAGAGAGTAGCTTGCAACCTGGACCTAACACCACTCAGGAGTGGCAGGCCCTGAGCTGGAGGGGACCTCAGGGGACCCCACTTTCCATCAGGGGGCCTCTCAAGTCCTGAGTTCCCTGGGAGGGTCCCTCCCAAAGGGCGGAGGAGGCAGAATGGGGAGGGAGCAGCAAACAGCCATTCTATACGGAGAGGGACTGGGGCTTCCTCCAGGGTTCTGAGAGGACTAGGTGAGGGCGCCATCGGTCATTGGAGCACAAAACCGACATGGTCTCCGCAGAATCTGAGACAGACACAGACACAGACACACCACCCGGTTAGAAACCTGTGAGAGGCTCCAGGGAGGTTCACAGAAAGAAAGAATTTGCCAACTCACTTCGCCCTGTAACCGCAGCTGGCTCCCCTGCTCCTGGCAAAGCCCTTTAAGCCATTACACGTGAAGCCCTGTCTACCATTTAGGTCTTTCGCCCTCACCTGTAACTCAGGTGACTCAGATGAGGAAAAAAAATCAATGGGAAAATCAAAAGACACAAGACAGGGCTAGCCTCTCAGGGAACTCAAGCCAGTCCCTAACGTTTCTTTACTGTCCGTTTCTGAAAACAGAAACTACTGGGAGTGAGCTTCCTTGGGAATCTGAGCATTCGCCTTTCTTGCTCTCTCCCAGGGGAAAATAAATATAGTAACAGTATTTCCTCTGTCAGGTTTGGCAGAGACGAGTCCGGGACAAGGAAAGTGCAAGAGGCTTTTCCCAAAAGAAAGGGGGGCAGAAGGCGCCCGCTGTGTCCCGTTGAGGAGCAGCCCTTCAAAGTGCTTTTCAAAAGGTCTGCAATCTGAGGCTTCTAGACTCCAGCCCGGGGCTCAGGGCACGGGTGCGAGCTGGGCACTGGACACAACCCGGGCCGGCCCGCCCACCAGGATTTGGCCAAGATCCCGGGCCTGGGCCAAACCCAAAACTTGCCCAGCTGCGCACTGGGCTAAGCCCTCTGGCTGAGGCGCCTCCACGCGCTCCACCTGCCGGGCACGCCGTTCGGCCCCCAATCCCTGCACCCTCCCCTGCTTGGACGGGGTGGGGCGCGGGGGAGAGGGAGAAGGGCTCGAAGAAAGACAGTTACCCGAGCTGCGGGACGGTTGGGGCGGCCTCCGGTGCGAGTGGGGCTGCGCGCCCACCCTCCTCCCAAGTGCATCTGCGCGCAGGCTTTCCCGGGGTCCCCAGGAAGCCTTCCACTCCCGCGGGCGCCCGGGCAAGAAGCTCCAACAACTCGCCCCT